ACCATTCATTGTTTGCCAACCACCAATAAAACACCAAAAGAAGAAGAAGAACTTAGACGGCGCGAAGCCGGATGTAAACAGACAGTTCGGTCTGGTCCAAAACAAGACGGAACCGTGGAGACGTGAATGTTCCTCAGGTTCTAACGAGATGAATTGTCGCTTTAGAGGCGAGACGACGCTTAGTGACCCCTAAAACGGAACGATCCCGGAAGAGCCGTCGCTGGACCGTGTCAGACAAAGCCAACCGGGTCACCGAGAGCTACTCGTCGTTTTGATGAACTGCGTGGGGGCGTGTATTCTCAGCCGGGTGAGATAATCTGGAGCAGAACCTATTGAAGGTCCAGTCTAGTTCAGGACCAGCCCAATGACCAGAACCCTGGCGTTCTGTATTGGTTCTGTTTGTATGGTATTATTGGACCTGGGGATTCTGGAGAGGTTAAAGGATCAATTATATAGAAAAGCTGTTATGAATCTTTGGTTTTCTCCGATAGGGGGCCATGTTGACCCAGACAACAGGAACAAGCTGGACACCAAGCTCTACCAGAACTATTGGTGGTCCGGAATGAAAGACGCTGGCTTCAAGTAGGAAGAGAATCCGACGGACGGAAGTCTGGACAAGGACTTTCTTTAGTAGGTTTCAGTTTAGCATCCTCCTCCTGCTCCAGACTTCCTGTCACACATCAGCTAACATCTCTTCGATCTCAGACATGCATCCTCTCCATGATGCTCCACAACCTTCATCACATTTGGTCACTTGTCTCCACATCTCTGCTAACATTCAGCCTTCTTGTTCTGTCAGAATCCAGATTCAGCACCACGTCTGACCGGGCTGCAGAGGGTCTTCTTCATTGGATCTGGCAGGCTAGATGCTGATGGGTCAGCACCTATTCCCACTCACAGTCTGCCCTTACACCCCTACGACAGTCCGTCATCACCAACAAAGTCCTCAAACTGAAAACAGACACACCAAGGGCCCCCAAGAGAGGACCACTCTCTCCTGCATATCGCCAGCAATGCTGAAGAACATATCTCACACTCTCCAACTCTCCACAGTCACAGTTACCATCCGGGTGCTCCCCTAATAAAAAACAACCCACCCCGCAGACAACTGTGGCCCAGCGTTAACCGGGTCAAGACCAAAGGGTCCCTCCTCTCACAAGCGAGGGCCAGCCTATGACCACTCACCACCACTACAGGTCATAAAAATCCCTACCCACATCCGCCACAGAGGGTCCGTTCATGTTCTGGTTCTGGTCTGCTTTAGAGAGGCAATAGAGATGGCAGGTCGTGGGCGTGGCCACAGGATGATGAGTTTCAGTGTGGATGCAGTCGGCATCAGAGAATCTCTTCCTCCAACTATTCACCAGCCTACACCTGTGTTTCCAGTAAGCTCCACCCCACTACACCTGAACCCAGTCACACCTGGAGTTTAGTTCACGTGTGGCTTTATTTTGAGCAGACATTGTGTATTTATTTATTTTGGCATCAAGTGCATTCTGGGATTTGCAGTTTAATGTTTTCCAGGTGATGGAGCAGAAGCCCCTGCCTCTAACAGGTGGAGAAGAGGCAGAGTATTTGTTGGCTCTGAAACAGGACTGCAGGGGAGCCATGAGGAGTCTTCCATGCTTTATCCAACCAGCAGTGGCACAAAGAGGTGAGACCAACAATCACCACTTAACTGCTTATCAGATGTAACTGCTCTCTTATTGTGAAGTTCTCCTCTGCACTTCCTGTCAGATGTGGAGCGATACTCAGATAAATATCACATCAGTGAACAGACTGACAGGCTGAAGGACTGGGTTGTAGGTGAGACCATGAATGCTAATATCTGTAACCACAGTAACCAAGAAAACCCAATGTGATGTGTTGATCAGGAGTAATGCTGATTAGTCGTTTCAGATTGGAAGAGATTCCCCAGAGAACTGCGAGTCCACGTCAGGAAAGCACCCGTGATTGGGTCAGTAATCTGATTACTCTCAGTAATTTGAGCCAGGGTTGTGTTAGCTGCTGGTAAATGTGTTTTTGTTAAGGTGCGCTGCTCAGCTGCTCCGGGACAGCGGTCAGCAGATACAGAAGAAGAAGAAGAAGGCCAGAGAGGAGATCCTTCTGAAGCTGGAGGTGAGTTGGACTGGTCTGGGAAACAGGTCACAGGTAACAATAACGTATTCCAGATCTGTCAGACTCACCTGTGGAGCAGGTGTCTCAGCCACCTGCTGTCCTACCATACCGATGACGTGACCTGTGTGTGTCATACTTGCAGACGCTGGAGAAGAAGGAGGAGCAGGAGAGCTCTGATGGGGAAGGAGAGACGGAGAAGAAGCAGGATGAGGGTGCTGAGGCTGAGGAGGATTACGATGAGGAAGAGTTTGAAGAGGTGAGTGTGACACCCGGTGTGGCAGGGGATTAAAGTTCTCCGTCGGGGTGACGGA